GATGGCGATACGGGTGGTCGATGCCAGAATAGGGGTTCAGTCGGAATGACATTCGGTCTCGGATCAATCGTTTGTCGTTCGCAATAACTCGGGAACGAGGACAAAAAGACAACTGTCTGTCCAACACTCTAGCTCGAGCTGGCAAAGACGCAAATTTGGGAATTATCCCATAATGCCCCTGTGAGGAGCCACATGCGCCAGGAATCTTAGTCACATAGCAGCCTCGAGAGAGATAGGAGCGCACTAGTGAAGACAGAAATATCCAATCCCATCGCGATGAGCTTATTTTTTGCGGGTGGTGGCGGCGGATAACTGTCGCCGCTTTCTTTACTTGCTTGTCGAGGTTTTGCGTCCGACATGGCATTTCTTATTCCTGGAGTGGTGACATGTAGACTTTGGCTAGACTCTGGACTTTGGAGTAACTCATAGTTGGGCCAATGTTCAGGATGCAGGTAGACTGAATAGAGATCTCTTGCGAGTTGCTTCTTAGATGCCGTTGGCCTGTGCTGCGACATTGGATCTCTCTTGTCTGGGCTATTGGCTGCAAATGGCAAAGCAAGTCCTCAGCGTCTGATGATTATTGTTATCATTGTGCCATATCCGAGTGCAGAAACATGACTCTCGTTGATTAGATGCGCACAGCCAGGGCTGGTCTGTGGAGATGTTTCTCGAAGCCGCTGCCGTCGAAGTGGCGTCTGTGGATTCAAGCTGCGCTAAGAAGACATTTGAGTACCTATGGGACCACGAGGCAACGCCATTGAGGATTCTTTGTCCCACCCACCGCCAAGCGGGCGGTTGTAGGAAGCCACGATCAAGCGATTGAAGCTCGGTTGCCTAGCAGGGAGTTGAGCAGGGAGTTGAGCCTCTCGAAGGATCTTTGGAGATACGGAGACGAAATAGAAATAGCCGAGTAAGACTAGCCACTGTAAGGGTGGAGATATGAGTGGACACGACTCAAGTCAGGTTGGCAAGGCGTGCCGCGTGTTGTGTGTGGAGGGGCCGGGGAGGATGTCCTAGATCTGATCTGACTGTGTGTGTTGATGCGCCTTGCGCCTGCATTGGATATCGATGGAGCAATCCTGAAAGACCACGAAGGTTTTGTGCAGAATGTGAAGCTCGTGGCTCGAATGCCCCCCGGCTTCCTTTTCCCAGCTTGTGATGATGGCTATCTTGTTGTCTGGGGTGGGTCCTGATCTGGGTCTCTAGCAAATCTCATTCCGAGATAAGGTGAGATGGAGGAAGCTTAGCTGGCTGTCGTAATGGTGTCGAACATGGATGGGATGGGTCCAGACAAGCCTTGGATAAGCAAAGAGGAGGCTAAGACGAGGAGATACGGCAATGCACAAGTCTGATGCTTTGACTCACGCATGATTTGTTGTTGTTGTGGTTGTTGCTGCTTGTTGTTGCTTGAAGTTGCCGTTGTGGTTGATCATAATTCCCACACAATGTGCACGGGTCTCTCCTACCACAAAAGTAACAAAATGAGAGGGAGCCCCACCTTCAGGCTTCAGCCGATGTGCATTATGTCAGCCGGTGGCTGAGTAAGTTGCAGATGCACAAGGGGACCCCTCCATTCTCCACTTTTAGCTCGATAGATACGTTCCTTGGGAAGCACGACAGATCAGGACGGCCCGGCTTTCGGGAGAGGGCGGATACGTACCGCTAGACCCTCCTCCTTCAACTTCCCACACCCATTGCTCTGTGTCTCTGCTCTCCATCTTCAACTCCATTGCCCTTCTCCAATCCCTCTCACCAATCCCGCTCGTCCACCTACCATGATCCATCGCTGTCGACTTCATCTCATCTCACACCCTTCGGCGCGGCCGTAACGGCACACACCATCTCACTCATCTCCCCCATCCCCCTTGCTTATCCTTCTTCGCCGCGGACCTTTCCCTGCCTTAGGTGCGACCCTAGCGTTTCTTCCCGTTCTCATGGCTTGTCCCGTCTCCCGTACTATCTGCACCACAAATGAAGGATCGTCGTCAACCCGCAGGGTGATCGTTCACCGTTGATACCATCACCGAACCTTGCAGTATTAGCGCAGCCATCGTCGCCCGAAATCGATTCGTTTCTCTGGCGCAAAAACGGCCCCCTTGGATAGCCTACTATGTCTGTCAACCTCAACTTCTATTCTTCACCAAATTCACGTCGAATTATGATGTGCAACGCTTGTCATCAATGACAGCGACATCTGCTTAACCATCTGGTCCATCTCGAATTATCGACGCCAGTCTCTCGCTTCACAGCCAGTCGTCGCTCGTTCAATGCCTTTTCTTGCATACAGATCTGTTGGCTATTGGTTCTGACAGCTCCATAATCTTGTCGTGGCTTTTCTCCGACAAGAATCTGTCCAAGCACATTGACTTACGTATCTATCGCCGCACCAAGGCTCCCGCGCGCGGCTTGGTCTTCTCACATTGAGACCAGTACCATACTGCAATCTTTCTTGGCTTTACTTTTTGCCGCCGATGCTGCTGCTGCTGCAGCAGCTGCAATGCTTGACAAAGGGCCTAATGCTGGAGTTTGCGCCAGCGTATGCGCCAGCGTCTGATACTGCCTTTGCGCAGCCTCAGAAGCAACATGATGCGGCTACGCAGCGCAGACCACCCCTCGGCTTCAACGGCAGGGCCAGGTATTGACAAAACCCCCCCTTTGTTTAGTGCTGTCAAATATCCATTTTAGGAAACAGCGGCGCCATTCCCGCGGGTGGAACTGAGGTAAGGTAAGGCAGGTCATCCCACACACACATACACACACACACACACACACATATACACGGCGGATGGGACTGAGGCAGACACACAGGCTCAGCCCAGCCTCCCACACGAACCGTGACGACATGTCTGCCACTCCATTTGCCTTTGCCTGGGATCCGATTGTCATGCCAGTTGGCACAGGCCTGTCGAGTGTCGAGGCAGAAACAGATGGCACGCGCCAATGGCCACTCAGTCCTGGTCGATCTGCTCCGTGCCTTGAAACCCGGCAACCCGCAGCTTTCAGAGATATCCCGGCCAACCTACATGTTCAGAAATCCATGCCTCGACCGGGTCTGGCCAGCAGCGTTCAAATCCACCATGGTTGACATGGCTCTGGCATGGCTCTCTCTCTCACAGCGGCTACGCCAAGGTCTTCCCTAGCAAACCACTTGGATGCCATGGCCCAAGTGTCGATGACTCTCTGTAGACGTTTCTTGGCTCCCTTTAACCTTGCTTTTTCGTACTCGTTCGGCCGGCAAAGATCATCTCTCCACCCACCCACACGCTTCAGTTAACCTTCTCTGACATTGTCTCTCATCTTCCATCTCTTGTCTCGTTCTCTTTCGCTTTCTCTAACCAGCCTGAGAACGTTCATGCTTACTCGTTTGTTGTCATCCTTTCTTCCACCTTCTCGACTCTTGTGCCTCGTTGTCTAGCATTCTGTTTAGCCCATCCACAACTGGGTTTACTCGCAAGGTATCCCACCTCCCCGACTACTCCTTCGGGATCATCCCATTTCTTGTCTGTGCCCTGGCGTTTCTGTTTGATCTCCCACCCCCCTCCCTCTCCTAGTGTAGGTACTCCCACTCTCATCCTCACGCATTTGTACGCCGTAACCTCACCCGCTCGCCGAACGCTCCCTCCCCCTCCACCAAGACCCCCATGGCCGTCCTTTCTCTCTCTCCCCGTCGTCGCCGCCGCCACGGCGCCGCGGCCCCTGTCAAACATAAAGCTTACTCAACTGGGTTAATCAGTACGAACGCACTACTCAGGTACCTCGCACCGTTCCCCCGCCGGTCTTGACCGTTTTGTTGTTGGACCTGGCTAGTGTATGGCTCCAATGTACGCAATACGAAAAGCCGTGGTCTGCTTGAAGCAGATGTACACACATACGCATACCACAGATCCCTCTTGGTCCCATAGCACGCACTACTGTATCCTGTTATGCAACCTGGTGCCTTGCGTGCCTTTGTCCACCTCATCACCATGGTCATTCATGTCCATGTTATGCCCAGGCTGACCCAAAGAGCCTTGTGTGCGCCGGCCACAGACCTCATCGACTTGTGGTATCCACTCCAATCATTACTATCTATCTCTTGCTATGCTATGCTTCCAAGACCGATTCCATGGCGGCTGAACACACATCGGCGCCGCTTCCTCCCTCCCATCATAAGTCCCGGTGCTTGATACTAAACATCCAGAGCCAGTGCCGGGCCACCAAGTAGCCTTGTACCCTCACTCAAGGATCCATGTTGCACATCTCCATGTGCTCCATTGTCTTGCGTTAAACGACTGTGCGTACTCAGTCTGCTTTTCGTCCTGAAGCAGGCACCGCCTCGGTCTCCCAAGATCCCATCGCCCGTCACCCACACTACCTATTACCAACCCTATCCATCCAAGCTATTCCCACTCTGCTGGGAAGAAGCTGATGCCATGCCCAGACCGCTTCCGTATTCGCCGAGCTGACGGGTCCCATGCAACCCCTGCCCGTTGCGCCCGGCCCTGGTCCATACATTATTCCCTTCACTCCTCGACATTGTTTCCGCGATATATTTCAAAACCGTCCACCCTTTCCGCCTACTTCGTACCGATCCTGGAGGAACTTTTCTTTCTTGCTACTACTCGTTCATCTTCACACTTCATCGCTGTTACCAAATTCATAGATGCAAGTTCGTCCAGAACTCTAATCCGCAGCGTCATTGCCTTATCGAACCCTACGCCTGGGACCATTCCGTCGGGCCCCTTCTTATTTACACGGCAACCCCTCCCAACTTGGAGCCTCTATTTCCACCTCTTCATATCCGATACACACTGCTAAATTTACTTGACTGTCTGTACCTCGCATAGAGTACATAGCTTCGTGTGCCTCACCAAATCAACCATATCGAACTCAACTATCACCACAACGACAAAGGCTGGCCAAGACGTCGCATCATACACTTGCAGCTTAATGAAAGCTCCTGTCTAGTCAACCCCACATCAGACTCAATCGCTTCAGAGCGATTCAGAAATACATTCACAATGGTCTTCTGCGCTTATTGCGGGAAGTCCTTCACCAGAAAGGAACACCTGGAGAGACATATCCCAAGCCGTACGTAAATTCCTCTGCTGGAAATGGTCGAGATCGAGCAAACACTGACAGTCTTGGTATAGACACCAACGTAAAGCCCCACCGCTGCAGTGCCTGCCAGCTCTCCTTCGCACGACGGTTAGTTTAATATGGAATCTCATCGACAGACATCCACTGACACACCTATGACAGAGATCTTCTGCAAAGACATCACTCAACATACCATGAGGCGCGGGACCCCATGGAGCCGTTGCCTGGCGGTGTTCCCACAGTAGCTGGCCGGACACCAATCGCCTGCCAAAACTGCGCCAACGCAAAGACGGGTTGCGATAAGAGAGTACCTTGCTCGCGTTGCGCAGAGAAGAATCTGCCCTGCGCAGCAAGATTCGCCCGGAGATCGTCAAAGGCCGCGGTCAGAGCTGCTCAAGCCAGCGCGGCTTTCCAACAACAAATGATGCCGACTGTGCCCCAACCGTCACAGCCAGCTCAGCCTGTTGCTTTCATGGACCTCGATCCAACCATGCCCAAGCAAGACTCACCTGGCAAGATGTCAACTGGATCTCCAATTGCCACCATGGATCCTCGCATGATGGAAGGCCCTGTGAAGAAGAGCTCACCAGCACAGTCACATCCCAGCTCTGATGACTTCCCATCACCACACAGCCGGGTAGATGGACTCGACGAGTTCATGCAGCTCAACAGCGATTTCATCACGCCCGATACGAATTACCAAGATATGATGGTCTGGCCTGAATATCCTCTGGAGCTCGACATGTACTCCAGCCAGCTCCCGATGTCGCGACCCGACATGTCTATGCCTAGCTTCACAGAACTGAGCGACATGTCTTCAAGCTCAGCATCAGAGCCAATGACTGCCTCGTCTTCGCGAGGATCTATCCACACGCGAAGTACCAGCATCATGTCCACAGCTGACTTTGACACCACAATGAAGCCAGCTGAGCAAACGTTGGGTATGCCGAGTGAATCGGCGATTCCAGAGTTCGAAGTCGTCATTGCCGCCGAGGACTCATGGCCACTCGCTCGATGCAATCCGCCCATCTATTCCGGCACATGCCCAAGGACCGCGATCGTGCACTTGGAATGCCTGGAGAGAAAGTCAAAGGAAGACGGTACCTGGAGCTCGCTCGAGAAGTACCTGGAGAACGTCGATTGGGACACCACCGATGCCTCTGTCGTTCCTCTCACATCTCGTACTCGCGACCGCATGCTGGCCATCACGCAGTCATTCCTCCAGAAAGCGCTTGACATTCACCGAAGCGGGCTCAGCAATGGCTACTCCAAGACTGGGTACGCCACGCCTAGCGAGTTCAATTTCATTGTTTTGCCGCCCACAAAGATTCTCGAATATTTCCTCCGCAGCTACGTTCGTAGCTTGCAGTACTACTACCCCCTCATTGTTGCAGGATGCGTTGACCCCAACGAGATGCTGTTGAACAACCAGGCGTCGACATTGCTGCTTCTGTTGATGATCGCGCAAGGCGCTGCGGCAGTGCCGATGGCTGAGGCACGTTACCTCGCTGCCGGTCTGACGGAAACCTGTCGCATCTCACTCTTCGATATCATCGAGAAGGATGTCGAGCTATCTGCGGACCCCGTCGCCTTGAGATGTGCACTTCTCTTCACCCTCCAAGGTGCTTGGAGTGGTGACAAGTGGTTGATGGACATCTCGATGGGACAACGGGGAATGTACTTGTCGGTAAGCAGCCACAATCCTCCCAATGTGCTAAGAATAAGTCCACTGACGTAAAGCAGATGCTCAAACACGCCGGCATGTTGGAGCCTCAACCATCCATGATCCCCACGTTGAACAGCACGACAAGCACCGAGCTTCAATGGCGGGCTTGGTTGCATCGCGAGATGCAGAACAGGCTTGTATACAACTGGGTCATGTGTGACCAGGAGCTCAGCCTGTTCCATGATACCCCGCCGCAGTTGGCCATCACCGACCTGCAATGCCCGCTCCCCAGCCCTGAGGCTCTTTGGCTTGCATCCAACTCAGAGCAGTGGTTCGCAAATGTCCAGAATCTTTACGGTTGCACCGCGAATGTCAACCCGCAGCTTCTGTCTAGCCCTTCCCTCACTCCCTCTTTGTGCGAGCTATTCCAAGACTTCCTCCACGACAACCTCTCCCGCCGCCAAGCCGGCCTGTCTCCGCAACAGCTTCGCCTTCTCCTTCACCCCCTCCAGTCCCTTCTCTGCCACCTGAGGCAAATGCTCTCCTGCTTCTCCGATGTTCTCTCTACCCGTCGCGCGACTTCGAGGACTGTGACCAAGTCGAGCACCATGCTCCGCCTGGAAGAGGTTCAAGCACTTCTCCAGAAGTGGTACGAGCTCACCATGCTGTACTACAAGAGCAACCCCAACTGCACGACCACGCGCTGCAACCTGGTCCTTTACCACCTCATCTCCCTCAACGCCGTCACCAACTTCCCAGAGATTGAGCGTCTCGCCCGTCGCGACGGCTTCGACGGCTCTTACTGGGAGTTGAGCCTGCGCCACAAGCGCTGCGTCTACAACCGCGAGGAGGCCATATTCCACTGCGGTCAGGTCCTGCGTCTCCTGCGCTCCATGCCTGCCGACCGCCGCCCGTGCTGGTGGGCCGCGGGTGTCTACCGCGCGACCCTAATCCTCTGGGCCGACAGCGTCGCACGTCTCGACCCCAACTTTCAAAAGGCTCAGCAGGCCCAACAGCAGTCTTCATCCCCATCTTCTCAGCACCAGGGCCAAAGCCCCGAGCATCTTAGCGGCGCTGGCGCCTCTAATGCTGCCGCGGGCGGACAGCACGGTAGCGGAAATGTCGTTGCCATTGACCAGGTCACACCGGAAGACCCGTCCGTCATCTCCTACCTGTGGAGCGGGGGCGACGGAATCGCCGTCCTGACCCGCCGTGACGGCACCACGCTGGGCTTGGACAAGCCTGCCGAGGTGATCAACTACGGCATCATGGCCATTGAAGAGGGCGTCACTTGCCGTGTCGGCGATGGTATTAGACGCAAGCTCATCACTCTCAACAACAACTGGAACGTTAATGGCCTCGCCAACACGGCCACCGCGTAAAAGAGGTCTATTATCCTCGTCCCTTCTCTGAACATCCTTGAACTCAACAAAAAAGTATTTTATCTTCTTGCTATGTTGTTTGTCTCATACACATTTGGGTATATGGCTCTTGTCGATAACCGTCCTTAACTCTGTACAATCTTCTTCTCTTTGCATTTTTCAATCGGCGTTTATAGGTTATGATGACGGGTAAATTTGGGGAAGGACACATGAACATGATGGACGACGCACGTTCTCCGTTGGGTATGAGGTCACTGGCGTTCTGTAAACACAGCAGCAGTCCAGTTTGACGAGTTTTTTTTTATTTTTTTTATTAATGTATTTGTCTTGATGTTCCATACGATCTTGTCCATTATCTAGATACCTCAGGCCGCTGGTCATGACATGGAGGGCCTTCACTTCTGAGCGACATGTATTTTAGTCACTTTACAAACTACAAGCTTTAACTTGGACATCTCACACAATGCTTATTATTCCGCGGTCTAATTGAATTAGTGAATTGATTTGATGGGCTCAACTACCGTAGACCCATCATTGGTATGACTTTCGAAGTCTTTGTTTACGCAAGGCAATAGATGAGATGAAAAATCGCATAAGTTGACAAGACATTGACATTGACACCACTTCCTTCCTAAATTGGACGAAGGCATGTGATGTTGACATATGACAAGCGGGCATACGACATGCCTGAGAAAAGCGAGCAACATTATCCTCGTGATTATGATGCTCTCGATAAGATTCGTCGCTCGCATGTGAGAACACCCAATGAACTCGCGCAATCCCATGTCTTATGTCTCATGTGTTCCTTGAACAGACTTGATCTAGAAATCCCTCCCGACGAGACGGGAAGTCAAACCTTAGCTGGAAGTGTAGGGCGAAAGGTGGAGGGGAGATAGACAGGCACGACAAGGAAAATGCCAAGGAGTTGCTTTCTTTAATTGATTGATCCTTGCCCTCGCTCAGCAACTACATTATCTGTGCGCATCAAACATGTTTAGACAACGCACATAGCGGATAGCGATTGGGTCTTGATAAGTTGGTCCTACGACCCAGCAGGTTGGGTGCCATGGGAAAAGAGGATCGGATGAGAACTCCGCGGCATGAAGAGGGCCAATTTCTCCCTCTCTCTTTCTCTTGGATGGTTTTTTCGGCGCCGGCGGGATTCGGGAGTATCAGACCAAGCCAAGACGCCAGCGAGACGTCCACGGCACACAACTTACAGACTTGATGCAGGGATGATGAGCAGAATTTTGATGCGGGATGAATTGAGGGTTTTTAAGCTCGTTGTTAACAAGGTGTGCCCCTTATTCCACCCCTCTTCATACCATTGGGCTCCCATGCTCGATCGTAGATGAGAGAGTACGAGGCATACTCACGCATTATGAAAACGGGATATCTACAACGCAAAATATGAACCATCATTGTGTGGCATTAGGAAGGGTGTAAGTGGTTCAAAGGAAGATTCAGTTTACGATGATGTTTGTTACGTTGCCTCTCTCGTGACCACAGATACACATCACTTCAATAGCGCCAAGGGTCTTCCCAGTAACCCATCTTGAAAGAGAACGCAACCGTCTCGTTGACCAAAATGCTTGCTTCTCAATCGGCCGAAATCCGCGAGTGATCAACACCCATACGGTTCCAAACCTACGCGGTAGGCGTGGGATATTGGATACAGTACGAGCGGAACCTCGGACGGAGGGGGACAGAGTCGCCGTCACGCGGGGTGACGGACTTATGTCGTGGAGAGTCAGAGTCTACAAAGTCTCGAGGGAGACAAGCGCCCGTGTAAATCTCTGCCCCGAGACCGAGGGTAGCGTCCAAAGGGTAACGGTTCACGACAGAAAAATGCGAGTTTCCGAACAATACTCCGAGTTCGAGTGGACGGGCTACGAGGAGGGAGGGGTCACGCTGTGTTTCACAGCGTCGTGGCTTGTTGACTTTAAGCCTCCTCTTTGATAGAGAATTGGAAAAAACCGTTTGTGACGGAGGATTTACATGCGAGAAACGTTTGCATGAACGTTTTTCGCAATGTGGTGCTCGCGATCGACAGGGCGAGGGGAAGGTCGAGCCATACGGGCCGATATCCCTACGGGGCGAGGGCCGTCCTTGCTGATAAGGTTACGACTGCTCCCTATGACAGACACCTAGCGTTTTGACAGTCCCTTTTTTGACATGATGGTGTGATGGGGGAACGAGAATGAGTAGTCTGAGCGGACTTATTAAGGAATCCGACCCGAGGTCCCCTAGACGAGGTGCCGAGTCGGAACTCACTCCGGTAAGGGGTCGTCCTTGAGAAGTATAGAGAGAAGAAGGAAGGGGGGGGGGGGAGCGGGAACCGATGATTTACTGCTCGAATCTTATTTCTAGCAAATGTGTGTGTGTGTGTGTGTGTGTGTGTGGTCTGAGAGAGAGAGTGACGCGCAAACCAGAAGGAGAACAAAAAGTCATCTCAAGTTCTGAAAGCCGTTGAGTTTAACATCCCGATTACGTACTAAGTTAAGTTCCCTTTCTTGCTCTCTCGGGAGGGTTTGCTAGACGGAGAGTCCACGACTTGCCGATGGGCGGGCGAGTAGCGTTGCTGGGAACGCGGGGACATCGGATTCTTCGGGAGGCCAGCCTCGTTCGGTTTCGGTGTTAGATTATTGGATGGCCTTTTTGTTTTGTTTGATTGATCAGAGAGGGAGTCTGTGACGGGGAAATTGTCAAGATCCGCCTTTCCCACGGGGATGGCGGGGGGCTGTTCGGCATGGGACCTGGGCAAGGGGCCGAGATATCGATTTGAGTCGAATTAAGCTTGTTGGAGATGTTTTGCAATAGAAAAAAGCTGCATTTTTACCTAGCACCTACTGTGATGGATAAATTTGTTTCTCTTCACGCGCTAAAAGAGAGTTTGGCGGTTCGCCCGGTCCGTTGCTTGTTTGATGATTTCTCGTCAAGGGGTCGTGGTTCACCGAAACGATAGCGGACCCGAGACTCTTCCTTTGCTTTTTGGACTGACTAGTAGAGTATTGCGGGAGCGGTGAATTTTCGGAGACCGCCTTTGTTCGGCTGATCTAGATGCCACAGTATCGGCCTCCGATGAGTGTCGAGAGCGGCATTTCCTCTTTCCCTTTGGCTCGGCTACATGGAGCGGCACCTTGCCGGCGCCGACATAGGGCCGTCTCTAGGACCGCACCGAGAAACGTCTGCAAAGCGTTGACAATGCTTGCTATCTCGCTTTCCTCGACTTTCCTCAACTTGTTGCCTCGTTTAGTCTAGTGTTTAGAGGCAGTGCTTGGCTTCTCGACATGGCTCAGGTAATCCACCACCCGTGCATCGTCCGAAGAAACCGCATTGATCGGGGACGTCCCGAGAGCCGAGGCTGCAAAAGGCGATACTCAATGTTGTCATGTTCCTCAGAATACTGATATCCGTAAAGTAAACAGACCTCCAATCAGCTTTGAAATGAACAGAGATGTATTCCTACCCCACGATAAGAACGTTTAGTCAAGACATCTTCCTGACGCCGAGGCATTGATGACTCTCGTCTAAAGGACACTCGGCCGCTGCTTGTCAGCTGCCAATCAAGCCGATCATCTGCCAAAAGGAGGTTGAAGATTCGAAGTCATGACCAGTTTAGAGCAGCAAACACACAACGCACCAAGCCGGCTGTCAGGAGCCCAGACCTTGCGTTCCCTTGACCTCGAGCATGCATGTCATGCCGGGGCTGCCAAACGCCAGTCAAAGCTCTAGACCCGAGGCTGCGGCTCCATACAAGTTGACATTACATAGTATTGCAGAAAACTTATCGTCCTAATACCGAAGGCATCAATTGCTCAGGCTAAGGATATAATGGCCCGTGAAAGCCTGGCTAAGTTGTAGGATGCAGGGACATGCGTAAGATAAGGCCATCCAAATGGTTTGATGCCACATGTTCAGCCGACGTAAGAGAGATGGATCACTGCGCAGAAACCTCTTCCTATACCGCCAGAGTAGCTGCATAAAATCGTGATCTCGCGTTCCTCTCTTTTCAAGATTGTGTTCCAATCCTCAGGCTTCGCTCTCGTCGGCATAATTGCTTTGCGACACCAAAGGGTGGAGCGTCGTGGAAAGGTCGGCATAGGTCGCAGCGCTGGACCGCGAGCTGTCATCAAGGACAAATATATAACGCATGATCTTTTCAACCTAGAAACCTAAAGCAAATGGAAGTCGTTCCTTGAGTCTTGGTCGCACAGTTGCAAGGAGTGTATTGATCTCGCCGGTCTAGCCCTGCCTCTCGTGGAAGGATTGAGGGTCGGTGGTCCTCACCGATCTGATTGTAGAAGCTAGGTTCTCCATCAGATGACAGATGATGTTCCGCTTAGTGTTCGTCTCTCCCATGTTCTCTCTAGCTGCCAGCCTTATCTTGACGTCTGGCACGCTAGCAGTGGGAAGTTTGAGGGGATTAGTGACCTTGAATGACAGCGAGAAAGAGATACCGAGTTACTTCCGAAATCATTATAATCCGTTTAATTGAGAAGTGCAGCTATTCTACATCATCTAGTGTCTTTCGCTTGTAGGCGTTCTGAGATGAGAGTGTAAGGCATCAACAGAGGACGAAAAGAAATACATATGCCGGCCCCTTTTCGGCTGAAGCTATTGTTCTTTAGAGAAGCTTATTTGACTTCTGCAAGTCCTCGAAGTTCAGTAACACAGTTGTTACAGCTGTAGATTGAAACAACGAAACGTTGACTTGAGAGCCTCGTCTTTCTCTAAAGGCGTCGTCTTCGTTGGAGTCGTCCGTGGGGGAGCATCACGGGAAGGTGTGGATACTCCCGGGAGACCCACACACACACACACTCTTTCCAAAGGATAGTGACTAAGCAAGCCATTTCTTTAACATCACGAATGAAAGGCACATTGCGGTAACAGATTGGCCTCCACGATGGGATTCGGACCTTCGCGTCTATGACATTCAGCGCGACTCGACACTTAGCTGTCTCTGATGATAGTCACATCAACGGACGAGCGCTCAATGT